CAGGAACGGATTAAACTCTTATTCTGAGATATGCCTGTACATATTTTATTCATGTACATACAGTACGTACATACTTGCCATCTCCTCACCTCTCTCTCTTGCCTACTTAATGCTCTTGCTTCCCTCATCTCATCACAATCGACTTTATAATGGTCCAGGACGGATCGAAATGTCGTCGTCTATTCAATTTCCAGTGTGTGGTTTGGTCATATAAAGATCTTATAAAGAAAACCCCTAGAACGAGTTTTGCAGATACGAAAGAGTTTAAGGTGAGTAGGCGATGGTTTGAGAAATTTTGAAAAAAGACGTGGTATTCATAGTGTTGTGAGGCATGGTGAGGGTGCCAGCTCAGACAAAGTAGGGACTGAAAGATTTGTTCGTGATTTTAAAGATTTTGTAGATACTGTATTGATGGATATATTCCACAACAAGTGTTTAATTGTGAGGAGACATGGCTATTCTGGAAAAAATTGCCAAAGAGGACATACATTACCCAAGAGGAGACGTCACTGCCCGGACACGAGCTAACTTGGGCTAACTTGTGTCAGGATAGGCTAACTCTTGTGCTGTGTGGCGATTTGAAAATTAAACCCTTGCTCGTGTATCATTCCGAAAATCCAAGAGTTTTAAAAAATATATAACGTGCAGAAAAACTGTGATGTAGAGTGGTTTGCCCTGCTATCAAAAAATATCTGCAAGAGAAAAGTTTGACACTAAAGGGCCTGCTTCTCGACAATGCTCCTGCTCATCCTCCAGACTTGGAGGATGCATTGTTGGGGCCACTATTTTTTTTTAGGGATATTCCTGCATGGGCCCTAAGTTTCTGGCTAATGAACCAATGACATGAAGGAGGAGTTTTCAACCTACCTTGTGTTAGGTGTGCAGGGGTCAATAGGCTGAACATAATGTCAGGAGCAAAGGGGGGCGATTGCCTCTTCAAACACAATTGTGACCATCTTCATCTCTTCGAACTATCCTAAATGCTCTCTTCACCTGTCTGACCAAATTGGGTGTCCAGACCACCTTTGAATCTGAAATTGTAAAATTAATAGTGATTTCAGAATATTCAGTCCATTTATACTAACAAATTATATACAGTATACTGTAATTGAAATTTTACAGAATGATAAAGGCAATTTAGCAACTCTGTTAAAATGCACATGGGGGAAATACATGAAAATAGGTTAATATGGTTTGTAAGGTTGATGGGAAATGTTTATTACTTTTATGATTTAAAAGATGTATAGCCCTAATACTCCATCCTGGGTGCATTCCACCAGCTAATGACCACAGCAAAAGTTTTCCACGAGGCTCTATTGTCACAAACTTTTCACATTTTCAAACTTGATTCATCTTTCCCCCCCCCCCCCTCCTCGTTCCAGGGGTTTTCTTTAAAAGGTCTTCATGCAAATGCCTTGGTTTCTCACAAATGATGGCCTCTGAAATGCTATCACCTGCTAACTCCTTGTTGTGTATCCAAATTAATAAAAACTTTTTAACATCCTCAAGTGTTTGTGTTCTTTGTTTCGGGATTGTTGATATGCCTTTTGCCACTTTAATGCTCATAATGTCCTTTTTCTTAGCAAGTATAGTGCATATTGTTGACAGATTTGTTGTACTGTCTAGCTAGTTCAACAACCTGTGCACCATTTTGATGTTTATGAATGCTCTCTTGTTTTTCCTCTATGGTCATTCTCACATGTGTTTTCTTGGCTTGAACCTTACCACTGGCTTTCTTGGGACTCATGGCAAGATATATCATAACAAATTTTATGTTCAAATAGCCAAAAATCCCAAAACAAATGTAATGCTTTACAAAGAATTCAGGCGCGATACTTACTAGGCAGGAGACACTGGTAAACTGAGGCGTGATCACCATGCCACCACGCGCTAGGTCAGCCCATACGTATATCAACAAACTCCTTTCCCGAGGCAAAGTTTGTAACCCGATTCAAATTTTTCAAAGAAATTAGGCTCGTAACCCGAAAAGTTCATAAATATTCATTCGTAAGCCGAGGTGTCACTATATATAACTAAAAAATTAAACTCAGGATTACTTTCAACCCCCACCCCTTTTGCTCTACTCCATCGCCACCTACCTTCACCCCCCTCTATGATGTACTCTTCCATAGACACCTACCTTTGCCCCCCTCCTCCCCTCTACTCCTCCATCATCACCTACCTTCACAGCCCCTCCCTTCTCCTCCTCCATCATCACCTTCCTTTCACCCTCCTCTATGATGTACTCTTCCATAGACACCTACGTTCACTGCATATAATGCTCCCCTCTACTCCTCCATCGTCACCTACTTTCACCCCCCCCCTCCGCTCTACTCCTCCAGGGTCGCAGACAATTTCACGAGCGTGAGAACTACGAGTTCTCTAACCACTCTCACACTCCTACTCTCTCACCAGTGAGGGGGAGGGAAGGACGGAGGAAATGAAGGAAGAAAGGTGGGGGAGAGAGAATAGGCAGGGGGGAGGAGGGCCTAAATGAGGGCCTAGATACATTTCTTCCATATAGATAGGTAGACTGAGGGAGAGCTGCTTGCCAAGAGCCCTATCAGACAGGCTTCCTATTCCTCAACCCTCCCTAATATGCCACATCCTGGTCAGGACAACTTGCTCGTTTGTTATTCTTGGTGTGACTCGAGAACTGACCTCGAGGCGGGGCATGGGCATGGATTATCTCCCTGGGGCACGCACCTCCCTGCCCCAGCTCTCTCTCTCTCTCACATAATCTATCAAGGGTCTAACATGAGGTCATTGTGCCTACCAGAAGTGTATATGTCCAAGGCTGGCCACCTGTCTGGACCATTCAAATGTATAAACACGTAATTAGTCTATTAAAATTATATATAATGCTACAATTCTAAATTAATTTGTTCATGGTCATTTGTTTATCAGTATTTTAATATGAGGTATATATACGCATGTATGTATACGTTGACGTACACATATATGATTATGTGTATGGAATGATTATGATTATGTGTAATCATATATGATTATATCTAATGGAATGCATTAGTAAGTGATGTGGTGGAGGCTGACTCCATACACAGGTTCAAGTGTAGATATGATAGAGCCCAATAGGCTCAGAAACCTGTACACCTGTTGATTGACGGTTGAGAGGTGGAACTAAAGAGCCAGAGCTCAACCCCAGCAAGCACAATTAGGCAAGTATATGAACGAATGCACATGTACACTTTCAAATGAATTAAGATACCTTGAGATACACAATGACTTAGTTTAAATAGTTTAAACACACTATGGTACTGATTTTGACATGCTGATTTCTGGAAGGGAGAGGGGGTGTGGGGGGGTTATTGTCTGAGGTGGAGGACCAGAGGAGGGGGTCAGTGGAAGGATGGTGGCTGGAGGGATGCCATTGTTCTAATGGTTATGAAAACAATTATTGATGGCAGGAATTCAGTGGGTGTGTACTTCACCCGCACCATCACCATACTGTGCCCTGCTACAACACCCCCCCCCCCTACTCCACCCATGCTGTGCGGGGCGTATTACACATTATGGGATAACCGACTGTCTGTCCATTCCTGTCTGCTCGTTATGCTGCCCTTCCTTTTGAAAATTGTCTGCTTTCTCGACTTCCTTCAAGACCACACGTTAGCCTCTTATCACGCCCTCTTACCACTCTCAGGGAGCCGGCTCTTCTATACAATAGTTACCACTCAGTCCCCAAGGTTAAAGAGTGTCCGGGCATATGACTTGTTACGTGTACTTATTTGCGATTCGTTTGGGCTGTCACGTGTGGTGATTAGTGTTGGGTAAGGCTAGGCCAGGTCAGGTCAGACTAGGCCAGGTCAGACTAGGCTAGGTAAGGCTAGGCCAGGTCAGGTCTGGTCAGGTCTGGCTAAGCTAGGTCAGGCCAGGCCAGGCTAGGCAGGGTGAGAGAAGTAAAGCGGCAGGTACTTACGTTTCCGAGAAAGTAGCGGCTGTAGTATATTGTTGATTTAGATTCGACGACATCCTGAAGCTAGTAGGTGGCGGCCTCATCGCTCTCGAACTTCTTGTTGTTGTAGGGGATACGAGGCACACCCAATATCCCCCTTACATTGATCACATCGCACACTAATATTTTTACTATTTCGGATACCAGATTTGTCTGTTTCGTATATGTATAATTGTTCAATATTAAAACCACAATAGAATGCTCTTAACAGTTACAATTTTCAACTTAACAGCCATATAGTTGGCAAGAACGCCGCCCGCCAGTGTAAATGTCTCAGACCCTGTTGGAATATAACCAGTCTGTCAATCGGGTCAACCCAAGTGTTGCATTTCCATGCGTTTCCAAAAGGGTCGCCCATGTTAATCTTGCTACAATGTACCTCTTAATAAATGTTATGTACTCTCGCAACCCAATGTACCTTCTTGTATATAAATAAATAGATTTCAACTGTAAGGGGATATGGTTTGCACCTTGTTATTCTAATAATGGATAAATAATTCTAATAATGGAAGCGCTAATTATATGAACAAGTGCCATGTATTTATTCAGACGAGAACAACAGCGAACACAAACCAGCGCATATACGAACGGAATGGTTTGTATGTACAAACTTCTCAGTGAACGAAGTTGTTTCTAGCCCGGTATCCGAAATTGCAGTATACGACTTGACCAGTCCCCTTCAGCTCCTGGGTCACGATTAATGATATTTAGAGGATACAGAGCACAAGGCTTTGATACTTACATTATGACTTTTTATACCGAAAGTATGCAAATTAGTGTAAACGGCGATTGGTCATATTTAAGAACATAAGAACAAATGAACAAATCCACAATGGCCGTGACGAGGATAACTGCCCTTGTGGATTTGTTCATTTGATGCATTACGTTAGTGTAATGCATCAATTATCTTAGTGACAGACATCAATGTGTAACCATCAATGATACAACTTCTTCCACTCAACCAATTACAAGAATGTAACAACTCTTGTATATATCTCTCTCAAAAAAAAAAAATTACAGTTGGAGTGCCACAGGGCAGCATCTTAGGACCTCTACTATTTCTTATATATACAGTATATCAATGATCTTCCTAATGTCTCTAATATTCTTAAACCTATATTGTTTGCTGATGATACTACCCTTATCTGTTCAGACCCCAACTCACATACAGTAAATAATGTTGTGAATAATGAATTAAAAAAAGTCCACTTATGGATGTCAACTAACAAACTAACAGTAAACATAGAAAAGACCTGCTACATCTTATTTGGAAGCAAATCATCGAATGCAATTCAGCTACAGATAGACAACACTAACATCAGTAATAAAAATGATGGTAAGTTTCTTGGCCTATTCCTAGACAAGAGACTCAACTTCAGCACCCACATTCAACACATAACTAAGAAAGTCTCTAAAACCGTTGGTATACTCTCTAAAATAAGATATTATGTTCCTAACTCTGCTCTCCTCTTACTATATTATGCACTAATCAACCCCTATCTTAATTATGGTATCTGTGCATGGGGGGGTCTACCACTGCAAACCACCTTAAGCCCATCATCACCCAGCAAAAATCTGCTATCAGAATAATAAACTCTGCTTTCAGACAACACTCCGCTCCCTTGTTTAAATCCCTAAACTTGCTAAATATTAACTCCCTCCACACATTCTCTTGTGTCAACTACATTTACAAAACCCTGTTCTGAAAAGCAAACCATGCTCTGAAACTCTCCCTGGACAGATGTAATAGGACCCATTATCACCACACCAGAAATAAATATCTCTTTGATATCCCCAGGGTCAAACTTAATCTGTGTAAACACTCTATGCAAATTAAGGGACCTAGTCTATGGAACTCGCTCCCTAGTGAATTGAAAAGCTGTCAAACTTTTGCCTCATTTAAAATCAAAACCAAAAAGTACCTAATTTCATCTTCGTAGTTTCCTACACTGAGCTTTAAATTTGCTCTGTATCTAGTGTTACCCAATCTCCCAACCTTTATGTACTTAACCCAAACAACTTTATCATTGTGTTCATTGCTGTCTTCTTTTATGTGCTAGCCATATGCTGTAGTGTGCCTACTAATTTTTTTTAAACTACCATTCAAGCTGTCATTGCAATCAATCTGAGCTACCTATGTGCTTTATATACCTACAATTTTCTCTCATCTTTTATTTTTTTTCTTGCTTTGTAACTGTTATCATTTTGTATAAATTTTGCAAGTATTTACATACTTAAAATTTTCTTAGATTAAGGACCTGCCCGAAACGCTGCGCGTACTAGTGGCTTTACAAGATTGTAATTACTATACTATGTGTCCTCACAATCCCAATGTTTGTTTTTACAGGCACTTGGAATACTGTAGCCATTCATTTTTCTCAAGCATGGAGACCTCATCTTCAGAAGGATATAGCTGCTCTGGAGAAGGTGCAACACCGGGCAGCAAAAATCATTCCAGAGCTAAGTGATCTCCCGTATAGGAATGGTTGAGGGCCACAGGGCTAACAACAGGCATGGCCGAGGGATCTTACTGAAACGTTTAAAATGTTGACCACTTTGGAGGAAGTTTATCCTGACAATTTCTTGAATGGGTTAGATGTAACAAACAAGGTGTAACGGTTTAAAGCTCAACAAGCGGCCACTCATGGAACCAACCACCCGCCGAAGCTGTAAATGAATTATGACTTAAATGAAATGAATTAAATGACTTTAATTTCCAAATTCACCTAGAAAAGATTATCAAGGCAAATGGGGGGATCTTTGACAAGACGTCGGCTTCCTGTCCACGTCGAGGCCACTAGGCCACTCGAGCGTTTTGTCCTGGACCGGGGAGGATTTACTGGGCCCAAATCCTTAACTGTAGGCTCTATTTAACTCAACATACCTTTGTCTACATCTCCATTAAAGATGGTGGATGGATGTAATTAAATACTCTGTTTACATCATGGTGGGTACTATTTTATTTAACAGTATTAAATGTCAAAACATTCCAGCTATTAAACATACAGAATTTATGTATTGTACACTTTTTCATGTGTGGTCAGCGACTGTGTCCCTCCTGTAAGTACTGTATCTTTGAAGTGTACTCTACATATTTTATATTTAAACAAAATTAACTTTTTTGTTTTCACTAAATCAGAGGAAACAATGGGATAAAATGAAATATGAAATTAACTTTACAGTATGAGTGGTTTCAATATAACATCATTACGAACATTTAGATGTGGCATGACCAGTCAGCAGTAATGTTTAAAAGTCTGTTGTTTAATTATCAAATTTTCCCTATTTCTTATCATACAAAACAAATAATTCTGTAGTTACATATACAAAACTACTTACGATTGCCTACTTGTCATTAACAGAAAAAAATTAATTTTTTTTTTAATACTGTATTCACTGCTGATTTTCTGATCACCTTGCAAATTTGTTTCAAAAATATTGTTGAAGTACTAGATTTTTTTATAACGAAATAAATCTTTTACTTGCCCATTTTTATAAGAAAAAACTGATAGCGCACAAAGGTAATAATGTTGAAATGTTTATACTTTCGTATATTCAGCAAAACCATACAAACCGTGATGCATAAACCAATCCTAAAAATGGACAAAAATAGTCACAAAGAGCAAAAAGGTCAGATTCTAGTGCAAAATGCATGCTCGTAGGAAATTCTTTGATGAAGTTGCTTAAAAGAAGCCATAAAAAGTGCATTTCTTCTTTCCTGAAATACTGTACAGTATTTCAATGATCAAATGGACAATAACAGGCCAAGCAACACATTTTGGGGGTTACCAGTCCAGCTTTTATTATTTTAACCCATGAATTCCACACCGTGCCCTCTCCTCCTCCTTCAACAAGGCCTATACAGTTGTACTGTCTTTGCACTTGCTCCTGATAATTACTTTTCTCTTTAATAATGTGGCCCACACAGAATCTTCAACGTTAGTGCCATAGGGGGTATCACATTTTATGATTTTTTGTATAAAAATTTATTCTGTAAATAAATAGATAATACAATGAAATTCCACAAGAGTGGATTAGGAATCACCAAACACACTGTTAACCAAACATTCTATGCTTCACTATGATCCTATTAAAACACACAACCTGCAGGTATCCAGTTATATTGTTAAGAAATCTAAAGCAAAGGAGCACATAACTTTGAAAAAAAAAGAATAGAATAGATAGATAACACAGTAAAGCATTTTAAATAATTTACCAAAACTTCATATGGATTAAAACTCAGTTGCTTCCATGTATAACTGGACATGATTTGTTTAAAGATATTTTCACCAAGGTTTAAGAGAAGTACTGTATAGGATTTGTTCATTTTACCCTGAGTGTTGCCCTTAAAAACCCACACAGACCTTAACCTTTCATCTGCAAATGCTTGATGTGTTTGTGAACTTGTAACTGATATATATTATACAAGAGTTCTGCTGCTAGCCTGTTTACATCCTTAAAAAAAAAGTTTGAAGGAGCTTTATCCTCATGTTAAATACAATAAATTAGGAGAAACTTGTGAAATGAGGTGAAAAAAAACGAGCTACCTGTATTGTATTTAGTATCCTTTCTAGAATCCTAGTTGTAGTTGCCCATGCATCTCCAGTTCCTGTTTCATTAGATGCTAGTTTAAAAATTAATGTAAGTACTGTACATATTACTATTCTTACATCTAACTGTTTGTCATTGGTAGTCTTGTTGCCAGGTTTCATTCCTCTCAGTATCTCCACTAATGAGAAGCAAGTCAAAACATTACTTACTTGTGGCGCTTCCCGAGTCATGCTAACAACGAGGTAACATACATAACAAACCACAGAGGGGTGCAAATTATACCATTACCTACTTCTTGTGCTCCCACACGGAGCACCACAATAGGCTGAATTACCTAGGAACCAATACCCTACCCCCCTGGCTAAGTCCCAGCATAACAGCATGACAGTCATTAATCTAATGAGCACCTTTATTTTCCCCTTCTTTTTCCTGTGATAAAAAAAAAAAATCATGTTCTTCTTCAGTGACATTCAGATTGCCCCTTTCAAGGTTAATAATTATGATACTGTGTTTAGTCTGTGATCTGGCAGTGTATTTGTGCACTTACATGTACTTGGTGCAAAATGTGCTTAGTGAAGTCTCATTACAAGATTCTGCATGGGACACCATGCTTAATATGTTGGAAACGGTATATTTTTCTATATAGCAATATATGAACTATGATAATAGCATATAACGTATATAAATACATATACCGGTACACAAAAATACTGACAAATAAACATACATACAGTACATGTAAATAAATATCTACACTTAATCAATGGTCAATTGTTATTTTCAGCACAAATTTGTCACAGAAAAATGTTTTAATTAGGTCGTTTATTGATTAAATTAATATGAATGAATGAATGAATGAAGATGAGCGAGATGGGAAGGATGACGACATACACGAGTAGGGGCAGGGAATCAACATTTATAGTGATGGATGTATGAACTGATGATTGCTATAGAGACTCCCTGAGCTGATCTTTCCAACAGAAGAGCAGCTGCAGGTCAAAGTTTAATCTTGGCCAGTACTGTAGAATACAACGATCTTCATAATTTTTATTTACACCTAAATGACAATAACACTAATTTTTTACACAAAATAGATACTTTTCTAATCATGAAAAAATAATTTTATAAAATTATAACAATAATCATATAATACAGTAAAAAATCTTCAAATTAAAACTTTTTGTTACTAATATCACAGTGCTCCTAGAAATTAACAGTATAGTATTCAGTATCAAGATTATAGTCTTACACATTGTTTTGAATTTAGCTAAACGTAACCCGCATTACACAAAAAATGATTAAAGAACTCCTGAATTAAAGTGTTTTTTTTAAGTTATTGACTCCTAAAACTGATACAGTAATAATCTACTCCTGAACCTGGCTCCACTCACCCATATGAGTAGGTAATAACAGCTGCACCAAACATCCTACAAGTTTCTAAACGTCTGTACACCAATATAAACAAAAATAAATCTTTAATATACAGTACTAGGACCAATTCAGAGACAACTCATGAAATAATTCCAAAGTTTTATTTTTTAATTTATATTAAAAAATATCGAGTGGTATTGCAAATGACATTGGTTGACACAGTGATGCAACTAACAAATACCGGTCAGTACAGCGATGCAACTAGCATGATACGAGATGACAGTGATGAAGCTAACGGCACTTTGGTCGACATTAAAGCCACTAACACCGCTCTATGTGAGCAGAACTTCACTTGTCCATTATAGGAGGCAAGTGTTTACAGTATCAATCAGTCAGATTGATAATTTCAAAGGACAAAATGAATTAATAATGAATATAAAAGTTGTCAAAGTGGTGCAAATGTTGCAAACAGCCGAGGAATTTTCAGACTAATGAAAAGGACTGTACAGTGTAATAACTTAAAATCATATTTTTGAAACAAATCTAAAGAATGCAAGTGATTTATCTTAAACTTGTTTATTTTGTCTTCTAAAAGTTTGAATTAATATATCTTACTAATCTAATATCAAAGGCAACTGCAACAACAATGTTACCATGGTTGAAAATGAAGCTGCAGGAGGGAAGAGCAGGTATGGCACCCTTGCTCCCTCAAACATTCAGCAGTTCTAGGGGTCACAGTTATGGCCATATCAGATTGTTTCATATTCCATTTTACAGTTCTTGGCTTAAACAATAACCGACTTACCGGTATGTTATTAATTTTGAGCACAATGCTAAAAAATGGTTTGGCTTTAGGAGAGGTGAACTTGTGCATAGGTTCACCTTTCTAAAGCAAGTTAGTGACAACAATTTCCACTTAGCCCTTATGATAAGAGATGTTATGGCATAAAAAGTATTTTCAATATAAAAAATCTGCATCACAAAACTAAATATGTTCAATATTATTTAAATTTCCCTTTCTTAAATAAAAGTCCTTGACAAGGAAAACCTGGTACTGTGCAGCTGGGGAGGGAGGCACACACTAACATCCACTCTTATTCATCACTACAGTATTTTGATCTGCTGTCTTATACGTACACTTCTTGAACTAGTCAGATAATTTGTTTCTTCTAATATAATAGCATTAAAATATCAGCAAACAGGTTTTTTAAGAGATGAAATAATTAGTCATTGGAGACCCACACATTCAATTGTTTTGGAAATACACAATATGAAGTTCTTTGTGTAGGCATTCGCATTATTTATGACAGCAGCTTCTCTAAATGCAGTTTGTTTTGTATCATCATTTTTGGCAAGCATCTCTCATACTGTGGTCAGCACAGTTAGTTCACAGCTGTAAGGCCCCAGGTTCAATTCCCTTGGAGGACAGACAAGGTTGTGCTATGTTTCCTTTCATCTTATGTCTATGTTCGCCTAGGAGTTAAATTAGGAGTTAGCTGTTCTCGGTTGCATTCTGAGAAAGGCCAGAGATCTCAATAAGCCTAATGGGCTTCCTATCCCCGACTCTGGAAAACCACACTAAAATGGCATTCCTGCACTTATTTAACTGCGACCTCAATACAGTCAAACATTGTCCAAATATAAAATGGTAGCTAAAATTTTGACACTTGTTTGGGAGAAATAACACTTGCATAGACAAATAATTTAACACCGATACCTATTAGTTCAGTACTTAGAATTGATATATAAGTATCTTCTTGGCATCCTTATCTATTAGCTCAATCTATGATACTTTAATTAAAAAATGCATATAAAATCAAAATATCCTGAAAAATATTAAAGCTTGTGGTTAACAAGATGTATGATAAGTTATTTAAAGAACATGAGTTCATTATAAAAGTTTCAAGTGACAGATTATCAATGCATTGAACAACCTTCAAAGGAGGGAGTCTTAAGAATAGCACTAAGGCAGGAACTTACACAGTACTCTTGCTGTAATATTCACAATTTAGTCAAGAGTGCCATGATGGTTAAACTCTGAAGGTGTTCTTATTATCAGAGGTACTGTATTAGGGTGTAGGTTTCTCAACTCGTATTGTCTTCAAAGGATGAACACCTTTTCTCCGAGAGAATCAAATAAATTCTTTATCTCCAGTAAGAAAAATAATTTATTTTCCCATAATAGCTATACAGAACCTGAGCTTCATAGGATATTTACTTTGATTCCATATCAACATAAAATCTAAATAAGCACTTGTTAGATTTGCCAACAGAAAACATTGCAAATTCACTATATTTTGACCTGCAGACCTGATCCAAGTTTGCAAGTACAGTACTGTACAGTAATGAAGTCTAAATTTTTTTAATATCTTCAGAAACCTGATGAATATTGTTTCAAAGGTTTCATCTGTATTATAAATTCTATCTTTTATTTTGATTATCACTTGCAATAGTATACAAATGATTTAATTTGTAAACACCAATGTTACACTATTGGATTATTATGTAAAATTCTTGAAAAAAAGTTATCAGTCTTAAGAATACTGTACTGTACAGTATAGAGAACAACAGATGTATTTATTTAAAATTACTTTCTTCCTGTCCTTTCAAGATTTCACACATGAACTGATAACTTTATACAAAATAATGACAAACTAACAGTGTTAACTTGTACTTCAAATATATAACCCAGTGCCACACTATAACATTGCTCGGAATCGGTGCTGTGAAACTGAAGAAAATGTTATCGCAGTTCCAACGAACTAAGCAAATCTACTACTTTCAATTGTTTCAGTCACAGAGAGGTTGTGGCCCAACCTAGAATGAAAACAATTTGTCATTACAATATGTTGCTATTTACATTCATATTAAATTTATTTATCATTTAATTAGTTGCATTCAATAAAGGAAAGTACTAATCAACTGGAAATATTTTGAACATTACCAATCAAGTTAGGAGTTCCCGATTCAAATATTTCAAACATGCTGCAAATTTAAAAAAAATAACTAAATTCTGACTAAATTGTAAGGAATCTCTATCAGAGATAAATAATAAATAGCTACTTACTTTTCCATTTCAACCACTGTTTCTTGAATACTAGATGGATGACATACGATAACAGTGCGAGAGGTGCTGGGTTGTACGAGTGGTGTAAAGTATTTGAGGGCAACACGCTTAACATCTTCTATAGTAACTTCAGCAATTCTATCTATTAGCTCCCTGAGTATATGAAAAGAAAAAAGAGCAAGTTAGTTCCACAATTTATACACTTTACAATGGGCTGGCAACCTTTTGCCAAATAGCATGCTGACCAAACACAGCTTATTTTGAGTTGTTCTGTTTGTATACAAGTTTTTATACTGGCTCTAAATGTTGCACTCCATTTATAAAACATTAATATACTTGTAATAAATCATCAATGTATAACCTGTAACCTCTAATTATCTAATAAGGCAAAACAAACCACAACTAGAAGGTAGGTGGCAGGACAAAAGAACATGGAAACTGCAATGGAGGGGGGACCTAAAAATCCCTTTAAATGCTTTGTGTGAGCTTTTCTTCAAAGTTACGGGTCCCCTTCTTCCAGCCAGAGGTGGTACCACCCTCTCATAATGAACACTTCTAGTTAATTTTTTATATTTTTTTTTTGCAGGGATATTCCTGCATGGGCCATAAGCCTCTGGCTGGCCCACTAACTAATCTTTTGTAGAAAATCTGTAAAGGCAAGAAAAAACACTTACTTGTTATATGAATGAGGAACTCTCCTATAATATGCCAGCAGAGACTGCTGAACAACATCCGACACAACTGCTTCTCGCTCTATTATTTCAAAGATGAGAGAGCTCCGGGCCGATTCTAACAGGTTTTTGTCCCATATTGTTGTTCCATTAATATGTGAATTCTGGAAGATAAGTATGAATGTTAATCAAAAGTGGCTGTAAGAAAGATAAAGAAAAAAATGACAATTTTAGAAAATTACATAATAAAGTGACATCTCTTCATGGCATTGTGCTGGGATCTACTCCACTAACTACAGTTATCCTTATGCATCCAGTACAATGAAGACATCATCAAATAAAGATCTATGTCTAGCATCAGCGTACAACATACCAATCTTGCCCATATGGTGTTTCCCAACCTTTATAGGAAGCCACAAAATAGTTTGGCATCAGAGGACTCCACCCCCTGGTTCCCATCAACATATCATGATAATCACATTTATCACACCAACAAAGATTTTCACTGTATACATTTAATTTTTTAATGCAAAACTAAAATGAATACCTATTCATTACTGTTGAATATATTTCATATAACAAATAAGAATATTACACACACACAATTTCAAAGGAAAAAGGAACTATTTTTTCTGCACACAGTGTGACAATTATGATGATGGCCATGAGACATCAATTTTGACGAGCTCTGAGGGTTGAGCTCGTCAAATAAAGCCATGATGTGTATAAACATCAGTACAAAACATTACACTTAGACTAATAATGATTAAAGTATTGTAAATCACTATACAATACTTTAATCATGAATAAAGTTGGCTCTCATTTACCCATAGAAACACCACTATGAAATAAAATTAAACATAATTATCAAATAATGATTCTATTCTTAAGTTATGCTTACACTACAGAGCCTTATAGTGGTCTCTCTCACTTCTTTTCCCATCTAATTCAGCCTTCAATTTAACATTTTCCCATTCATTAATTTACTATTCCTTTCTGGCACCCAATTATTTTTCTTTGTTTCTTTCCGTGTACTTTCTCACTTGCTGAGGTAATCATCAAGTTATCCAAACATTCTACTAATATATACACCATCTATACCATTTATTAGGCTTACCAGAATAGTTAGTGCCTCTTGATAAGCTCCAGTCAACTGAGCTGCTCTGGCCAGTTTCAATACAAGTAAACCTTGCGTTGGATTGAGATTAATACTGTAGGAATATGCCAAACCCCGTCCTCGAATTTCTCTCCACATTGGTCCCTGAAAAGTTTAAGATTGTAGTGTTTTCTTACTGACAAAAGGTTCAAACCAGACACAGCAAATTTAAACTTTAACCAAAATTTTATAATAACAGAAGATGCAG